TTAATTTTATTTAAAAAATTATAAATACTTTTCAAAATTCCAGGCAAATTTGCCTGGAATACGGTTTAAGGGATAATCGTAACATATACTAGTTGACTGATCAAGTCCGATCAAGTATTGTAAAATAGTTTTTTTATGTGTTTCACACCGTGTGTAAAATCAGTTGTATAACATCAACGGTTCCCCTGTTTAATTTAATAGTTTTCAATGATCATTGACAGTATCATTGACAGTATTTTATGGACAGAAAAATTAAAAAGTATATCATCGTTATATCAGAATATCAGAATAATAACATTACATATATGTGAAGTCAATTAAATGGCTCACAATAGGTGGCCAAATTTTTTCAAACTTTGGATATTTTACAAATTCACTGTAATGAAATATTATGATATTTTTAAAGCATCTTTGCTGAAAAATATTTTAAAAAATTTTTAGAGGCATATCATTTCGAAAAATTACCAAACACTTAGACTTTTATAATTCTGAATCCAGAACGTAACAAAAAAATTATTGAAGAAACATGATTAATCCAAATAGTAACAAATGGATCGATAAAATTGTAATAATAATACTTTATGACTGTAATAAATATTGTTTATTGAGTTTATTTGAAATAATAAAATGATTAATTTATTGCTTATCGTTATTATTTTTTAGTCTGTAAATTTGTTGTTTATTAAGTTAAATGACTTTTTTGGTGCTCGACATATTTATCACGTGTTGATCGAAACTTTTTTGGCACATCCACTTATTAGCGCCAGTAATACAAACCTTTAAAGCAAATCAGAGAACACAAATTTTGGGTATTCCGGATCAGCTTTACATAGAATCCGAACATTGCGAAAGAAGAAAAAAGAAAAGAAAGCGAAAATACCCAAAAATTAGTGTTTAAATCGACAATATTGGGCTAATAAAAAAAATGACGAGGATAAAATTTTATATAGCTATTATTTTTACGCGCTTAGTTTATTTTACAAAGTTTGATTTCCTTTTTTGGTTCATGTTACCGGCGCAAATAAGTAAATTGGATTTTGCTACCCCGTCAAAACAAAGTAATTCTGGTCAAATTTGCAAATCTATCTCCAAAGGCCAAATGATCTGCAAATTTGACCAGAATTACTTTGTTTTGACAAAGATCGGTATGCATGATGTAATTGTTTTGATTGTTTTGATAGATCAGAATATAAATAGTTATTTTTGATTTTCTTTTCTTCGTGGTTATTCAGTTATTTCTTTACACTTTTATTTTATTTCAAAAAGAAGCAACGAAAGCAACACATAAAGGTAAAGACTGCGAGTTTACAAAGTAGAAAATTTAACGTACCTATGAAAAAAAATCGCATGTTGATAACATGGACTGAAACCAATAACCCTTTAAGATCCACTGACGATATTCATGATGAGTTATAGTTTGTACAGTCCATTAATAGCTCTTTGTACACTTACGTCCATTAACCATGATTGTTACGGTGGATTTTTACTATTCTTTGAGCTTATTATGTTGAAACCTTTTGGATATAACAGCCTGCTTACTGAATGTATAATCTATAAAGCATGCTCGTAGCGTTGGGGGCTATTTCGAATTGTACAATCCATTAACATTGCACTTCATCATGTTAGAAATCATTGGATTTTAAATTCTTTTAATTATTATCGTATTGTTGGGGGCTGTTTGGGTTGCACGATCTATAATTTTTGCATATTTGGGATTTCTATAATCTATAACTTGTGCATTAAGGCTCTTTGTACTGTTTCGACACAGGTTACATCGTGAAGTGCATTAACCATGATCTTCACATTGAATGCCTTTGGGCTTTCACGATGTTGGGGGCTATTTAGCTCGTGCAGTCCATAAACTATGTACATTGACTCTTATTAATTATTAGCCTTGTACATCAGTGGCTCTTTGTATTATTGCACATCAATTAGCAATATAATTAGCAATGTGTGAAGTGCATTAACCATGATCTTTACCTTTATATAGTAGGAATATTGGGTATTGGATTTTTACAGTCACGTTACGATTAGTGCCAGTTTTGAGTTTAATTATCATCATCAAAAAAAAAAAAAACAGTCAAGAAACTCTACTGATATATTACCTTTATTTTAGAGAATCGAATTTTTTGACGAATAAGATAAAAAAGGTACTATTCACCCGAAAGAAAAAAGTAAACCATTCACTACATCATCATACTGAAATAGTCTCCATCGAGTCCCTTATAGTGTTGGTGGTAGAATTACGGAGTCTACCATATGGTAAAATCAATTATGCCGTAAATATTATGTGCCGTAGTGCCGTAATATCTTAATACTATAGCACCTTTGTAGTGTAATAATACGATACTGTAATACTATAATATATAAATAGCAATATAATGCTCTAAAAACCAGGAATGTAGTATACATCATTATAACTTTTATAATTTTAGGCGTTAGATTTTTGAGGGTTAATTAATAATAAAACAATCCCTAAAAATTATTAACCACAAATAATTTGAATATTGCTAATTGCTATGTGATTACATTAAAAAAAATTTGCATATTAATAATATATGTAAAATTATAATAAAATTAAATCTTAAATCTGACCATTATCAAGTAGTTTCTAGTTAATAATTGATTAATAATTATTAATTATTATCGTTATTAATTCAAGATATCCATTACTAGGCGCGGGTACAAATAATTAAAACAATAAGTAATAATGGTAGACAATTTTTATTAACCAATGTATGTTTAAAAATAAAATATTTAAATAGATATACATTATATTTAGAGGCTATTTCATCCACAGCACATTTTTTTTGATAAGGCCGTTTGAAATTAATTTTTTGATTAACATCACTTTCCAGGACTCTCGAAAGAGGGGGAGGAGGGGGCAAATGAAACGAACATATAAAATGAACAAACTATTTTTAATGTAGTAAATATATTATAACGAATTAACTTCAAGTTAAATTTAGTCTAGAGATTCTAGTTGAGTTGCTAATTATGTCAAAAAAATTTGATTCAGTATTTAACATTACATTCCTATTATAAAAGAGAGGAGCAAAAATAAATAAATAAATATTATATGATGAATTCATCCGAGAAAAAGTACAATTTTTACAGTCAAAACTCTCATATCTAGTGATCGGATCTGCATCATTTTTTAAAGTATGTATGCAGCGATCACAGATCGGAATTTTGGGGTTACTAATTCCCCAAGTTCTTATTGGTCGAATACAAATTTTGTCTCTCATTGAATGCTTAAAAATTAATGTAAAAAAGTATCGATTCGAATAATTGGTTTATAATTGTTATTCCAGTAAAAGTTAAATGTTACTCATTAATACTAGTTTCACAATCGAATAAAAAAAACACTTCAGAAGCTCGGTTTTCAGCAGTTTTCTTGAATTGTTTCATCACAAACTGACATATATGAGAGGACAGCCAAGTAGGAACTAAGATTTTGGCTTTATTTTTTTATTTTTTTTATAAAGGGAATTGTTATTTTAACCGGGGTGCTATATCTCAAAAACGTACGTATTAAGTAAACGGGATCGGGTACTCTAAGTAAAAATGTTCAGGACCCCTGAAAACCTCACGAGAACTGAGATCGGGACCTTATATTAGCACTATATTATTTTATATAAAAAAAATATTCTTAATTAATGCAGTAAAAATACCAAACTTTTTATACAATTTATAAAGAAGAACCATCTCTTAATCTAATCCTAATTTTAAGATCATAAACCTGATTTAACGCACTGTAATGGTATTTTATATTTTCATTCTTTAATTCAATGTTATACTTTCTATAAAATAAAACAACTAAAGATTTCATCACATTCATAGCCACTAATTTTCCGGCACAAGATCTGAGACCACAACCGAACGGAGTAAAAGAAATCTTTTGAAAATTCGAAAGTTCAGATGAGCCACCATGATTTTTATTTAAAAATCTATCAGGATTAAAAGTTTCATTATCTTCCCAATAATCAGGATTATTACAAAGAGTTTGATGATCTATCCAAAATCTAGTTCCACTTGGCCAATTATATCCAGCAATATTTTGAATACCATCAGAAATTTTTGCAGTGTATGGACCTAATAAAATAAGGCGCAAAGATTCTTTAATCGTAGCTTCAATGTAATGACAGTTATCGAGTTTTTCAAGGGTGAATTCAATATTTGAATCAGGACCAAAAATTTCATCAATCTCTTTGTGAATCTTGGCAAGAACATTTGGATTTTTCGCAATGTAATATAATAAAAAGCTGAATGCATTACCGGTCTGTTAAATATAGATATAAAAAACATGTATAGAAATGGACATATATATGTTAATTTATACTATTCATATATCTACAGATCATATACGTAGATATATATACATTTTAAATATAAAAGGATTGTTAACATTTACCGAATCAGTGCCAGCTAAGAGAATGTCCCACGTAAGAGCAGTAACTTCTTTAGCAGTTATCGGCGCAACATTATCATTATTTTTAGAATCGGGATCTTTTAGGGTGTGAGCAATCAATAAATGATCTAATAAATCTGAGTCTAATTCAGCACCTTCTTCAAGTTCTTTTTTTCTTTTATTAATGATATTATTCACAACATCATTCAAATAATTTATATTACGTTCGCAACTTTTACTGTAAAGGTTAAAACCTGGTACATAATCCCATATAAATGGAGGAATATAAATAAAAAATCCAAAAGAATGAAAAAATTTTTTTGTAGCATTAGTAAACTCTAAAGATTTTTTAATTTCTTCAGATTGAACTAATTTCTTATTTGTGTCAAATAAAGCTACACAATAAGAATGTTGTTTTGTGGTTTGAATAGTTTGAATATCAGTTGCAAAATATCTCATCCATTCACTAAAATCAAATTCAATTCCATCTTTTATTTTAGATTTCCATCTTTCTTCAGATGCTTTAAATTGGTTTTGAATACAAAGAACGAGACCCCGTAAAAATTTCGTTGCCATCAATGCACGGATTACTAATCTTCTCCTTCGATGCCATAAATTATAATCATTATTAAAAAATATTCCATGATTAAGTCCCATTCTTTCAAACATAGGAAAGGGAAATCGTTTAAAGAAGCTTTTAGTTGGTTTGCAAAGTTTCTCAGCATGTTTTGCATGATTGATAACTATGTTTCGTTGGGAACCAATATAAAATTCCCAAATTGTACCAGCCTTTTTCTTATTTTTGTTATACCATGTTAGAGGATTCATTCCAATAATATGAATCGTCCCTAGTATAGGAATCGGTATGGGACCTGGTAACGGATTAGGACGCATAAAATAGTTGTAGTAGAAGTTTGATATGTAAATTATCAATAATACTAATATAAGGGAAGTCCAATCTGTCAAACAGGAGCTTAAAACTGATAGAAGCGACATTTTTATGAATAATAAATTAAGCGCGGATATCTAATTACTAGTTATACTTTACAATAATAAGCTATAAAAAAAAATTCTTTTTTCAAAATGAAAATTTTTTATACAAAAAAAAAAACTTTAAATTTAAGGTTCACCAATCGCTTTTTTATTTTTTTTGTAATTTTGACATACGTTACGTGTGCATCACGCGATTTGCCACATTTACACATCTGTTTTAGACTTAATAATTTAAAATACAGTCAGACCCCCCTAAATGCAACCCCTAAGTGCACGTCCTATTAAAAGCCTCCCTAAATGTACGTCTTTTGGGCCCAACTAATATTACACCTATAGAATTTTACCTCTCTAAATGCAATACCTCTCTAAGTGCACGTTTGGCTAAATTTTTACATATGGTTCTGTTGCATTGCATTTAGAGAGGTCTGACTGTACAAAGATATCAGATATGCGATGCTAAATAGTTTCATACTTAGGAAAATTTTATGTAGCATTTTAAATATTTAAATCAATAAGTGTTTTTTATACAGGCTCAAGATTAAAGCGAATAAAATAAATCAAATAATGCAAATTAAATATTTATAAATTTGAGCATAATGAAAATATCTGAAAATTTTTTTGTTCCCTTAAAAATTTATGCATCTAAAAATTTTCAATGTACTTAATAAAATTCTTCACTCTTTCCATCTTCTTTTGCCTTCGGAAAAAATCGGATATTTGCTCAAATTTTTGCCCTCTCGTCTTTTATGTTCATCCATTTTCTATTTCCGCCCGGTATTATACATATAAACTTTAATTTTTCTATAGGAACATAATTTATAAATTTTATGTTCAGTTTGTTCCCAAAAAGGAACATAATTTTTAAATCTATCATTTCCAATTTTTTTTAATGTTTTTGGAACATTGGGAGCATTAGATATTAAACACTCGGCTGAAGATGTTTAATTATCAGTTGGCAAATATCAAATAACCCTCATAGGATGTTTGGCCTAGTGCTACAAATCGAAAATCAAAATCGCAACTAATCGAAAGTTGACAACTAATCGATTGAAAAATTTTTGGCAACTCATATTAAAATCGAATAAAAATCGAACAAAAATCAAATAAAAATCGAATAATCGAAAAGTTGACAACTAATCGATTGCAAAAATTTTGACGATTTGTAGCACTAGTTTGGCCTTTAAAATGATCCATAACTGGTTACTAGTTATTCGAGTAATTTAGGTTATTTCAAGTTATTTACTATCCCTGGTATATATATAAAATATATATATGTAAATAAAAATTGCAAAATTTACTTTTAAAACAACTTAAAATTTTAAGCAAAGTGCTCAATTTTACATAAAAATAGCCTTTTTTAATATTAATCCTAATTCTTTCATATACCAGGTAACTTATTCTAAGAGTAACAAGATTAAATTTCTTATAAATATGTTATTTTATTATTATAATTTAATATAAACAATTATACTTTATAAATTTTATAAATTAATACAATAAAAATACCAAACCTTTTTTTATACAATTTACAAAGAATCTTCTCTTAAGCTAATCTTAACTTTATGATCATATACCTGAGTTAACAAACTACAATAATATTTTATTTTTTCATCCTTTAACTCTATGTTATATTTTCTATAAAATAGAATAACCAAAGATTTCAATACATTCATAGCCGCTAATTTTCCGGCACAAGATCTAAGACCACAACCGAATGGAGTATAAGAAGTCTTTTGAAATTCCGAAAGTTCAGACGAGCCACCATGATGTTTACTTAAAAATCTATCAGGATTAAAAGTTTCATTATCTTCCCAATAATCAGGATCATTACAAAGAGTTTGATGATCTATCCAAAATCTAGTTCCACTTGGCCAATTATACCCAGCAATATTTTGAACACCATCAGATACTTTTATAGTATATGGAACCAACGTAGTAATACGCAAAGATTCTTTGATCGTAGCTTCAATGTAATGACAATTATCGAGTTTTTCAAGAGTGAATTCAACGTTTGGATCAGAACCAAAAACTTCACTGATCTCTTTGCGAATCTTGTCAAGAACATTTGGATTTTTCGAAATGTAATATATTAAAAAACTGAGTGCATTACCAGTCTGTTAAATATGGAAATAAAAATACGAACAAATGTGTTAATATATATCATCTATTATATACATGTATATAATATATACACATTATATATAAAAAATGATTGTTGTAAGCATTTACCGTATCGGTGCTAGCTAGGATAACGTCCCACGTAATAACAGTAACTTCTTTAGCAGTTATTGGAGTCACATTATCATCATTTTTAGAATCAGGATCTTTTAGGGTATGAGCAATCAATAGATGATCTAGAAAATCTGCGTCTAATTCAGCACCTTCTTCAAGTTCTTTTTTTCTTTTATTAATGATATTATTCACAACATCATTCAAATAAGTAATATTACGTTCACACCTCTCTCTATAATGACTAAAACCTGGCACATAATCCATTACAAATTGAGGGACGAAAACAAAAAATCCAAGTGAATTAAAATATTTATGTATGCCATCAGTAAACTTTAAAGATTTTTTAATTTCTTCAGTTTGAACTAATTTCTCATTTGTGTCAAATACAGCTAAACAATAAGTACGTTGTTTTGTGGTTTGAAGGGTAGAAAGATCAGTTGCGAAATATCTTATCCATTCCCTAAAATCAAATTCAATTCCATCTTTTATTTTCGAATTCCATCTTTCTTCAGATGCTTTAAATTGGTTTTGAACACAAAGGACGATACCTTGTAAGAATTTCGTTGCCATTAATGCACGGATTATTAATCTTCTCCTTCGAAGCCATGCATCATAATTATTAGCAAAAAATACTCCATTATTAAGTCCTACTCTTTCAAATGCAGGAAAGGGAAGTCGACTAAAGAAGTTTTTGATTGGTTTACAAAGTATCTCAGCATGTTTTACATGACTGACGACTATGTGTCGTTCGGAAGCAATATAAAATTCCCAGATTGCACCGGCTTTCTCCTTATTTTTATTGTACCATGTGAGAGGATTCATTCCAATTATATGAATCGTCCCGAGTATAGGAATTGGCATGGGACCTGGTAACGGATTAGGACGCGTAAAATATTTATAGTAGAAGTTTGATATATAAATTATCAATAATACTAGTATAAGGGAAGGCCAATTTGCCAAGCAAGTGTTTAAAATTGATAGAAACGACATTTTTATGAATATCTTCTCTTCAATAAACCTTTTTTTTCAACTCTTATGAACTTCTTTTTGTCAAAAGAAACTGATTACTGTTACATTTATACGTACTGTACGTATGTACGTATGTTGTTATGAGGTGTTGAATATTTGATATAAATGATACGTATTTTTAAAATATTTGGTATGCACTCTTCATTTTACAATGACAATTTGCTACATAAATATTATGCATGAATATAAAACCCAAATATTTATACAAAGTGATACAAAACCAAAAAAAAAGAGCAGCTGAAAATTTTGAATAAAACATTAAGTTCATGGGGAAAATTAGTCACTTAAATATAAAACTTTCATTTAGACGTTCATTTTATTGTATTTTCACTTTTTTCATGCATGTATGCTTTATAGTCACATAAATAAATTTAAAGTTTTTTTATTGTATTACTCGCAAGCCATATTTATGAATCACATAAATAAGCGTAAATAACATGTGGTTGGATCACATGGTTTCTTTTGTTATTTTTTGTACAATAGCTGATAAAAAGTACTATTATCACTACAATGGTTTAGTTTGGTTAGTTTGGCTTGCAAAACTCTAGCTTTGAGATTAAACTGATTAAAGCAAGTGATTGCTTCCAAGGGAAAATGAGATTTCAAGTTATTATTGATTATTTTATCGGATTCAGCCCGAAAAATCTGATGTTATATATGATATTTGATTACGTATCATGTTATCATCGGATTTTTAAAGGTAAATAATAAATGATAAAATTGAATGCCCGAAGTCTCATTTTCCCTTGGTATCACTTAAATTGTATAACATATACCTGTTTATGAATTAGTGTAAATCGATCTATTGTCTAGATTTATATGTTTCTAATTTTGCTATTGATATTGTATATTAATTACTAGATTTAATCATTTATTAATTAGATTCTCGTTGCCTAATTTTGACGGGATAATATTCGGTGGTAGATAATATTGATGGAGGGCAATATCGCCGTACGATATTTCTTCAGATACTTCCGCATGTATTGATAGAGTAATATAGCTGTCCTTTGAACCCTTTCTATTAAAAGAGAATTCCCATGACTTGCCCCGAATCATAATTTGTCTTTCTAATTGTCTGCCTATCATAAATGTCTAATTCTTGCCCGAATCTAGTTCCATTTCGGTTCCTATAAATTATGTAGTCATGACTCGAATCCTATTTTTGTCCTTAATTGCTACTTTTACGATGTTCTCCCGATTAAGCTAATAGCATATTACTTATACAACAGCTTCATTGGCTATTGTAAATATATAATTATCAGCATGGAGCAAAGCAAAATACTTTGCTTTAGTGTAACAAAAATATAATGACTGTTTAAGCTATGTAAATCAGTGCACAAATTATTTATTCATCAGAAATTTCTTACTAATCAATACATAATTTAAAATGATCGTAAAATTTTTGTTAAACCATAATTTAATGGTCGGAATATTTCTGAGGTTATTATGAAGTTACAATTTTTGACTATAAAATTCTAAATTTCAATTAATAAAAATTTTGTAGGCAGAAAATCTGATACTGTTATTTTTGTTATGCATTTATACACAAAATTAAGACATATACATGCTGTCCAAATTCCAAACTAAAACATTATAGTTTTGGTTCTTGTCACGGGGTTAAGCGATACTAATAGTTTAGCACCGAAATCTAACCAGATATGGATCTAACGAACACTTGCTTATTTATTTATTAAATATTATTCTCTTTATCTAAACTAATCTATTCTAAGCTCTCTCTCTTACCAACTTTACATTTCCTATTTATATCCTATACTCTAATAATGACGCTATTACTAATTACATAGTTTATTTTACTTTATTATTGTAAAGTTATTTTAAGCTTTTGATCGTCGCCTTTACTTCGGTTACCGTCACATACGTGACAATTCGTCCCAAACTTTTGTCAACCTAATTTTTTTTCGAATAAATTTTTTTTTTATCAATGACAATTATTTTTGAGCTTTGTCGGGTTTTACAAAAATTATTTATTAATTGATAGATATATAGTTGACATATTGTATAACAGATAAACATCTATGCACGCATGCAAGTATGTTGTAAAAGTGGGACTGGAACTGAATGGATATATACGTCGGAGTAAGGATCACACTAATAATGACCAACAACTATTATAATTATACTAAATATTATACTAAATAACATCTAATCTAAACACCTAATATTGGCAGACTTCGATTGAGGCTGATGAGATTTGGACCGGTGTTTGATTAGAGCTTTATACTATGACACGAAGCTCTAATTCGGGATCACGGGGTTAGAATTTTACTCATTAGGAAGAAGAGAGTTAGTAGAACGAAGTAATTTTCGTAGTTGAATTCCAACTGAGTTATCCTTTATTGAAGGGAATATCGATCACTTAAATACTTTTCAATGGTAGAAGATTTCATATACCGAACGATAAATACAAATCAGATTGTTTACATTCATGACATTTCTTAATAAGATACATATGACAAAATAATTTTCTGCTCTATCGAACATATTTTGTTTATACTTGATGGAGAAAGTAACAAACTTTTAAGTTCTTGGATTTTATAACTCTTATTTGTTATGCTTCATATAATAAATCCAACTCAATATTTTTATGTTAAAATAATTCTACAGGATTTACCTAATTTTAAAGCTATGAAGCTTCTAAACTAAATTTTAAAATCAAAGTTTTATTATAAATCTACACTCTAATTACTCTCGACATGTTGATAAATTATAAATGAATCCTTCAAAAAATTGTACAGAGTTATTTAAGGTCATTATAAACTCTAAGCTACCATGCAATTTTGTCACAGCAGATTCCTGATTTGATTGGCTAACAGCTGTTATACAAAATTTAACCTGCCTGCATTACATAATTATTATATAATTTTTGGCCTTGATTGAATTTTTAATTTTTACTTTTACTAAAACGAACCTATGGTGTTTTACCACATATGCTGCTAAAAACCAGTCAATTAATTAGTATGTGGTGTTCTAAGTAAAAATGCTCTACACCCCAAAAAAACAACCCAAAATAATCCTAAAACTAACACAACATGAAAAATCTGTGCTAAAAATTTTATATAAAAGCCTAGAATTTTTTAAAAAAACCATATAACAGCTACAAATCACCATAGCGTGTTTTATAATAAATGAACAATCATACTTGCAAAATTTATATAACAATAAAATTTATAATTTAAATTAATGCTTAATTATTAATGCAATTACTAAATTTATGCAGTAATACTTTACAAAATATATATTAAAATTTTTATACAATTTATAAAGAATCATCTCTTAAACTAATCTTAACTTTCAGATCATAAACCTGAGTTAACAAACTACAATAATATTTTATTTTTTCATCCTTTAACTCTATGTTATACTTTCTATAAAATAGAACAACTAAAGATTTCAATACATTCATAGCCGCTAATTTTCCGGCACAAGATCTAAGACCACAACCGAACGGAGTATAAGAAATCTTTTGAAATTCTGAAAGTTCAGATGAGCCACCATGATGTTTACTTAAAAATCTATCAGGATTAAAAGTTTCATTATCTTCCCAATAATCAGGATCATTACA